TTTGTCCGTTCCTCTGGTGATGGGCACTCAGATGGCTTCCACGACGTGTGGATGGTGCTGCAGTGAGCATGGGAGTCCTGCCGTACATTGCTTGCTACGAGTGAGTTGCAAAGTCCAGCCTACAGTGAGGGAGGGGAATCGATTTTTTGAAGGAGGGAGTTTCAGAGGATTTGCAGGGACATATTTATAACTGCCGCACAAGTGTACTGACTTCTTGTCTTTGCCTTCTCTTTGTTACTTAAGATGGCAGAAAGACATCTGCTTTCCCGTTCTCTCTCTCTCTTTCTATGTTAGGGTATAATGAACATTCAGTAAAATGTACAGATCTTAAGTCTTCAGTTCCATGAGTTTTGTGTTTTTTACGCACTTTGTAATCGAAGCAGAATAGGTTCCAGAAAGTTCCTTCTTACTCTTTCCAGTCAAACCCTTCCCCTGCAGCAGTCACTCTGATTTGTGACTTGTTCGTGTTGCCTGTTCTTGAGCTTCGTCTGAATTGGCTTCTGTGTGTGTATTCTTTGGCTGGCTGCTTCAAGCAGGGTCCCCAAAAGCATGGGACCCATTCACATTTCTGTGTTTCCCGGGTTAGGGACGACATGCCTTAAGGCATTCTCTACTTACCAGTGGGCTTTGATGGCTCCCTACAGGGATAATTTATAATTAAATAATAATTCAGGAACTGGTTTCTCCCACACATGTAAACAAACCATACCACGTAAGTGCGCTGATGGTACAGTGTCTTTACCCAAGTGGCTGGTCTCGTTGTTTATACAGTCGCTTGTGCATGGCATCACTTCTGTCTTAACTGTTTAACTTGATTTCGTGAGTCTGTGTTTGCACTTGTGACCGTGCCTGCAAAGCGCAAGTCCACTGCAAGTCCAGTGGAGCCTGCAGCGAAGAGAAAGGTGATTACAGTGGAAACAAAGGTAGAAATAAGTGTTCAGAGAAAGGCCGTCATTCATTTGGAAAGCATTACGCTTCAGGCACTTGACTATTGGAACAATTATAAAGGATAAAGTGAGAATAATGAAACATGAAAGGGAATGCTCCAGTGATAGCATCAATTATTACTAAGCTGTGTAGTGGAATAATTATTGAAATGGAAGGTTTATTATTGATTTTGTTAGAGGATCAAAATAAGCATAACATTCCTATTAGCCTAGGAATTAAAAGAAAGAGCACAGTGTTTTCTGTAACTTATTACTATAGTACTGGGTATTACTATCATCACTGCAGTACTACACTGAATTATTATTACCACATATGAGCCATTATAATATTGTCACTATTATGGTATATGCGTTGTTTATCAGGGATCTGAGTTACACACAAATCTGACCTGCAGACATTCTCAGGAACATATTAATTTCTCATCGTAACCCGGGAGTGTTGCCTCCGTGAATATACCATAACTGTTTTACCCGTCCACCAGCGGGTGGGTGATCCCGGCTAGCGTGAGCGAGGACCTGTGCTGTTTCTCTGGGGTGAGTGCCCGCGAGTGGCGGACTAGCTGGCCCCAGGGCATCTGTGCGCTGTGTGGCCAGTCGCCTTCCTCGAGCGGTTTCCCTGGGAGACAGAGCGACCGTGGTCTTCTCTCTCCTGCGAAGGGCTTGAGACTTTCTGGAGTTTAGTTCATTTAGGTTTCTTTGTGTCCTCAGCTTTATGATTGGTGGGGAGGAGAGGGTGTGTGCCAACAAAGCTTTACTTATAAAACCAGGCAGCAGTGGAGATTTGGCCCTGGAACTCTGGTTTGTAGACTCCTCATCTAGAGGGCAAAGCAGTATTAATTTTTGAACCCCACATGTGTATTGCTTATTCTGATAAGCACTATGAAGGATATGAAGAGTGTGCTAAGGAAGAGGCATGGGAGAGACCGTTTACATGGGGGAGGGAGGGTCTGGAGAGTTTTCCAGAGCTCTTTTCTGGCCTCTTTTTAGTTGCTCCTGGGAGCAGTGTTCTGCATGTGAACCAGAGCAGAGCTCCACAGACTAACTGCCTTTTGAAGTCCTTACAGTTAGAAAAGACGGCTTGGCGCAGGGTTCCAGAAGCCTTTCTGGTTGGAAGAATATGGACGGGCCCCTGCAGGCCTGTACCCGGGGCCCCTGAGCTCACCACCCCTGCAGACGAGGGTAATCTAGTTCAGGAGAGAGATGCCAAGCCAACAATTCCAACTTCAGTAATAGATTTTAATATCCAGGTGAAGTGGGTAGAAAAGTGGGGTAAGGAATTTGGGAGGGAAGGTCTCATGAAGCAGAGATTCCCGATGCTGGCCTGACATGCAAATTGTCTGGAAAGCGGTCCCTGAAACGTGGATTTGCAGGCATGCCATCCCTCCCATCCCTCGGTGTTCCCTACCTCTGCCCAGGCCCGGCCTTCTGGTGCAGTGAGTTTGAGGAGAGCCCGGCTCCCAAGGGACAAATCTTGTGACCAAGAACGAGATTCACAGAGTCGGGTACTTGAGGGGCCATCACGCGGTATACACAGCAAATCTAGGCGTTTTCTGTTATTGGACACTAACTCCCCAAGAAATCAATGCCTGTAAATTTGGTTTTGGATCATCTGTGAGTGGCATTTCTCTTTTAATCTACTCTCTCCTTCCCCTCTTAGCCACAAATGGTCTCTCGGTCTCACTCATTCAACTTCATTACTCTTCACCCTTCGAGTCCCTGCCAGCAAAAATAAAACTCAAAGGAAGCAGCAAACCTTTTTATACATCCGTGAAGACACTGAAGAAATAAAATTCATCTGATTTTCTGCAATAATCGCTTTTCCTGCGTGGCATTAGAGTCCTGGAAGAGGGAGCGTGTTTGGCCTGGCGTGGGGAACAGCGTTAGTGGAGACGCTGCAGGGAAGGGAGCATGCGTCACGGATGGCTCCCGGCTCGGCCTCCCCAGAGGCAGTTCTGCAAGGCACAAAAGTTAGAGCAGAGCTTGTGGGAACACCCAGGAGCTCATCTGTTCATTCAGTAAAAATCATTTGCATGCCCTAAAGCTGAGCTCACAAAGGACAACCTGGCGGCCTCCTCCCTGCAGGTGCTTGCGGCCTGGGAAGGCCTGTGGTGAGCTGGTGTTTGCAAGGAGAGAGCCATCGGTGCTGCGCCCGGGCGTTCCTGCTGCTTGAGAAGTTTCCTGTGTGTCTCTGCGCAGGTGCTGCTTGGTTGGTCATAGGTCAGGTGCTTACCTCTCTTGGGCTTCAGGGCTTCCCCACCTCATGTGGCCTTTGAGGTGCTGTGACTTCTCCAGGGGCGTGTGTCTGTGCAGAACTGCTTAGGGTACAGGAAGGGAGAGTGGAGACTGTGCCTGGAGTGACATGGATGTCCTGTCTCTTCAGCTGCCCGACCCTGTCCCGAGACCTGTTGGCGGTGGTTCTTGAGCATTAGGCCACCTGCCTGGGGATGTCTGATACACCGGCCAGGCGAATGGCAGATAGCTGTCTGTGATTTTTGATAAACAGCTCTGCACTTTGCAGAATCACTTTTATTTACACCCACAACCAACAGAAGTGTGTTTTCCAGATGCTAACCGCAAACTGTAAACTTTGAGCATTTGAGTTGACATTTGAGTTACGGAACATTCCTCGTTCCATGCCCACGGAAGCGCTGCCTTTGGGAAGGCAGGAACTCTGGGTCCTGTCCCAGTTGTCTCGAGAGAGAACCGTGCTCTGCGCAAACAGCTGGGGCCCGATCCTGGCTTTGTAGCACGAGCTCTCAGGTGGGATTCCTGGGTCCCCGCAGACTCACAAACTCCCTACCCGTTGCTCTTCTTGACATGCTGACGTGTAATACATTTGTGTACGGTGTGAGTTGGCATTTTGTGTCGTGTGTAAACGAAAGGCCACGCCTTGATGCTGTTGCCCAGCAGAAGCTTGTTGACTGTCTCCCTGTCCCTGCATTGTGAAGATGAGGCCATTGCGCTGCCCACAGTTCTGTTGGTGCCCTTTTGACCCCTCAGCACTGGCTGGGCCCGCCTTGGGCATGCCCTTCCCATCGTGGAGGCCCCGGTGCGTCGTGCTGTGCTTTGGGAAGCGAGTGTGTGGGTGCCGGTGTCATGGAGGCCTGGGCTCCGGTCTGCCCCGCCAGAGACTGGCCCTTCGTCTTGGGTGCTCAGCATACATCCGAGGGGCCGGCTGTGGCATGAGGCTCCTGTGTGGGCACTGGGTGCTGGGGACACCTCCCATTCCACTCCGTGCTTACCATTTGCTGCCGTGTTCAGATCTCCTTTAACAACTCAGAGCTCATCTTCTAACTGAAAATAGCTCCTTCCTTGAATAAGAGGCACATTTTATTACTCTTTTGGATCGGAAGAAGCAATGTGTCAGCAAAGGCATGGCAGGCTGGTTTGTGGCAAGTTTGACAGTAGCTAGCCCGTGAGCTTTAGCTACAACATGGATAAACATGCATGTGAAGCCTGCCTGTGTGTGTTGCAGGCTTGCTTATGCATGTATGTGCATCCAAACACGGTGTATGTGGTAGAGGGTGGAAAGATCGTGAATCGTGGCCACTTCCAAAAGAAATAGCCCTTATTTTTCTTATTTTTCGTAATACACTACTTATTTTCTAGGTTTTATTAAAAAATTGATTTGCAATGTATCTTAGAAAGGTTTTACCCCTTTGTATTAATGTATGGCAATTTCCCATAAGCCACATAAAATACTGTAACTTGAAGTAACTATTTCTGAATATAACCATATGTGAGAATTTTCACTGTCATATTGTTTTCTGAAATTTTTGTTCAATTTTTTTTTTTTTGCAAAAAAATACAGTTTGTGTGTGTGTATGGTGTGAATGCCCAGCGTTCTATTATATAACATGCCAGTTAGTAGCTCCATCCATGTTGTCTAATGTGTATCAGGACTGGCCACCTTGCTTTCGGGATTGCCATGGGGAAATGTATATGGATTTAACTCCTTGTGGTTTAAGGGACTGACACGATTCGGGTCCAGTCACTAGGGAGGGGAGGTGTACACTGGGATTGCCAGCTAACCTTTATTTGTCCTTCCTCTAGACAAGCAGATGCCCAGTGTCAGGAAGGCAGTGCAGGCACCGGGCGACACCCACCCAGCCAGAAGCCACCCGTGTCCTCTGAATCATCTCACACGTGGAAACCCCCAGCACCGCCCCGGGAGGGCCGTGGCCGAGCCGGGACGCTACCTCGCGACTACAGATACCCAGAGGAGAGCACCCCTGCAGACTCGGGGCCGCTCGCTCAGGGACAGGACTCCCCGCGGCCGCTGAGCGCCGCCTCGCGGGCGCCCAGGAAGTGCCGCGGCCCCGAGGGCGCACCTGCCCCTGCGCACCTAGTGGCCTCGGGCAGGGCCCTCTCTGTGCCCCCAGAGGACACGTGCGCGGCCCGCCTGTCCCTCCCCCACGGCCCCTCCGTGTCCCGCAGCGCCCAGCCCCAGGACGCCCCGGAGGCTGCCGCCTGCCAGCATGTGAGCCGGGGTGCCCCCCGCCCCGAGCCGCAAGCCCCGCTGCCCCCTGCGTGTCGCGCCCTGCCCCTGCGCATGGCCATGGAGACCTCACGCTCCCCCTCGCCTCAGTTCGCCCCCCAGAAGCTGACGGACAAGCCGCCCCTGCTCATGCAGGATGAAGAGTCTACAAGGTATGGTCCCGTGGTGGTGGGCCCGGCCTCCTCCCCCGCGGGTGCGCTGCCCGGGACGCGGGGATTCAGCGGGTCTTTGGGGGTTATGCGCACGCCCCACTTCAGCTCAGGGCACTAGGGCTGAAACAGTCCTGGAGGTGACCGTGTAGAGGACAGGGCAGCCCCAGCGAGGGTTGGGTTTGTAGTTGTTAGGGGCTGCCCTCTCCTGCAGGGAGTGAGGTGCGTGTGAAGTAGGTGGTGCACGGCCCCTCCCCTTCCCCAGCCGCCGCCTCTGTACCCCTGCCTCACGGATCTGCACACTAGGGGTGCAGTTTGTTGTTTTTGTGTATATTTAATATTTGCAATCAGATTTGGGTTGAGCCTAAGCGTGAGCACCCCAGCAGACTCAGGGCTGCATGCTGAAGTTGGTGTTTAGGTGAAATCAGTGTTTTTCATGATGTCTGGTGTTTTCATGCTCCTTTTTTTCCAGATATTTTTTTTAATGTTAAAATGCTAAGTCAGGCTGGTGCAGTGGCTCACACCTGTAATCCCAACACTTTGGGAGGCTCTGGTGAGAGGATCACTTGAGACCAGGAGTTCGAGACCAGCTTGGGCAACATAGCAAGACCCCATCTCTACAAAAAAAAAAAAAGCTAAGCTGCTGTATACCTTTTATTAAAGCAGAAGAAAGCTCAGTCCACTTCGTGGTGCCATTGTCAGAGTGTTGGGTATAGAATTGTTCTATCCATTGATACATCTCATCAGGCAGGGACCGACCATTGAAGAGCACTAACTGCTTTGCTTTCTTCACACAAAACCCCACCTACTTGAGTGCCTTTGAAGACCTGAGCAATAGAAGAAGGGGAGAACTTTCATCTCACTCTCTAGAGCAGTGGTTCTCAACCTTGGCGGGACACTGGCAATGTCTGGAGACAGTTTTGTTGTCCTGGCGGGGGGGTGCTCCTGGCATCCAGTGGTGGAGCCTACGATGTGACCAGAATCTTACAGTGCACAGGACAGCCCCCTCCCCATGTGTGGGCTTAATTGGACCCCACATCAGTAGTGCCAAGACTGAGAAACCTGCTCTGGAGAGGCACTGCCCAGTGTAGCAGCCACCAGTCACTCGTGTAAGTGTAACTTAATGACAGTCAAATCAAAGAAATTCAGTTCCTCAGTTGTACCGAGTCTAGCTAATGGCTGCCATACTGGACAGCACAGGTAACAGGTGTTTCCCTCACCACTGAAAGCTCTGTTGGACCTCCCTGCTCTAGAATCTCCAGCCATTTTTTTAAGGCTTCAGAATAACTCAGCAGAGAAAGGGCATTACTGTTACTGTACCTTCAGCTATGGCATCTCAAGCACAGATTTATCTGTGGGCCAAAACTGTGTGTTATATCATTTAAAATGAAGTTAAATTGTATCATTTAAAATGAAGTTAAGCATCACTTAAATAGACTTTCGATTGGTAACATCATTTGGTTCCAAAAGGAAGGTATCTTAGTCTGTCCAGGCTGTTGTAACAAATCCCATAGACTGGGCAGCTCATAAACAACAGACATGTATTTCTCACAGCTCTGGAGCTGGGAGTCCACGATCAAGGCAGGGTGGAGTCCGTGTCTGGCGGGGACTCACCTCCTGGTTCACAGATGGCGCCTTCTCGCTGTGTCCTCACGTGGTGGAAGGGGCGAGGGAGCTCTCTGGGGTCCATTTTATGAGGACACTAACCCCATCCATGAGGCTCTACCTCATGACCTTATCAGCTGCCAAAGGCCCCACCTCCTCACACCGTCACCTTGGGGTGAGGCTTCAAAATACTGTCCTCAAGGGGATACAGACATTTAGAACACAGCAGACGGAAAAACAATAAGGTGGTCTGTGTGGTGGGTAAAGTGTGTGATATTTTCACAGGCAGGTCGGGCTGTCCGGGTGCGGTGACGGGAGCGAATGCGCAGACAGCGGGCCCCGTGCAAAAGGCCTTCTGTGTGGGCGTCAGGAGGGGGAAGTAGTGCTCACTTTTCCTGCTCCCAGTGAGAGTTAGTTTTTCTCACTCTCTTTTGTTAGTTGAGAGGGATTCCAACAAGCAGTGGCAGTACTTACTGAAGATGCTAAGGGCAGGGATCTTTGGGCATGTGCATAATTGAGTGTTCCCGTCCAGCAAGTGATTTGTCATTCGGGACCACAAAGGTGGTTCTGTTGTACACCTAAGGCTCTGCTGTTGTCATTGAAGCAGTTTCTGTGCATGTGCTCGTGGAGGTCCACATTCTGGCCGAGGGCTTTGGAGCAGTCCCGTCTGTTCTCTCTGCCCTGCTCCAGAGATACGGTCCGGCAGATGGTGCTCATGCCCCCTACGGAAGTTGCTACCATGGAAGTCCCTCCTAACGCACTGGCTTTAATGTCACCGCCCCCAGGACGTGTGTTGTTGGTCAGTTCTGGTATGACAACGTGGAGTTACCTGTAAGACGCATAAGAGGCGGTGCTCAGCAGGGGACCTGGCCCTGCTCTGCGCCAAGGGCAAAGGGCTTGATGGTCAGCCAAAGACACTGCAGTGAAGGAGCTCAGAGCTGTGCCCCTCTTCCTGGCTGCTGGTGACTTCCAGTGACTCTCTGAGCGTGGGCTGCCCGCCTTGTCTCTGTTTGCATGTGCTGGCAGCCTGCTCGGGCTGCCTCTGCCTGGGCGCCAGGCGTCGAGCTCTGCAGTGGGCATGCAGAGCAAGAGGAGATAGAACATCCTGCCCTCTCGAGAACGGCACAGTCACTTGTGCCACAAAAACATTCTTGATGCCTGTCATGTAACTAGGAAGCTGACTCTCGTGCCCTTTAAAATTCTTTGAGGTTTTTTATCTCGTTTGGTTTTTACACTGTAAGATGGTGAGTGTGGCCAACAGCATCTGCCGTCCCTGTCAGTGGCAGTAAGCGACTCGATTGCCCGCAGCAGTGTTCTCAGGCGAGTTCTGGAAGCCTGTTTCTATGTTGGGAGCGTGTCAGCCGAGAGCCAGCCAGGCTGCTTCCAGGGCCCTGACAGCGTCCTTACGGCTGAGTAGTGTCCGTGTCTGCAACTCTTCTGAGCCGGTCAAGTGGTTTGTCAGCCCAGAACGAATGACATGCAGGGCTGAAGGGCTCCTGCCGCCGTGGGTGTGGGCAGAGCTTCAGCCTGTGTGACGCCGGGGGCTGGCCTTGTGGGCAGCGGGCAATCACCTGGCAGGACCCCCGGGCTCGGCGCACCCCACGCCCACCTCCCTGACCCTCCTGGTCCTGCCTTTCAGGAAGGAATGGTGAGAGCTGGTTGCTGTTAGGTCTAATCCACCGTGCTCTGGCCTTATTTTGAAGTCAAAGTTGGTCAGCCTTTTTTTCACGTGGAGGTCTTGATCGTTTTCCGGAAGAGACGCTATTTCTGTTTAGACGTGCCCAGCAATTGATGCTTTGCTGGAAAGTACATGCGAACCTGTAGAAGATTTGTTTTTGTTGTTGAATTTCTGCTGTTGTGCCTTCCTTCACTGGAAACCCAGTTTCTCCGCAGATGGGGGAGACACAAGGTGGGCCGACTTGGAAGTCAGTAGGAGCATGGGATCGCAGTTCCTAAATGTAGGGTGAAATGAATCTGCATGTTTTTGTATGTTGTCCCTTGGATAAGGCTGCAGGGTTTTCCGTCTCAAGTTTAACGCATCTAACTGGCATTTTCCACAGTTAGGCTCTTTAAAATTTCCTCATGAAGAAGCAGTTGTGAGTACTGTCTTTTAGCACCCGGATAAAACATACCAGCTCTTAATGGTGTCTATTGGAGGAGGGAGGAAAATGCGAGACCATTTCATGTTAGCCTGTGCACCACACCTTTCTGAATAGGGAAGGAACCGTCTAAGTTCCTAGTCACCAGTAGAAGGGAAAAAACAGCATTTAATTTAGAGCATCAAGGCTTTCCTCGTGTTCCAGAAAATTGCGTCCGTTTGTGTAACATTGTAGAAAAGTGATTTGCAATTTATTGTGTTAGAAACACATCCTGAGTTTGGGTCCAGGGAGTTTGGCTTGTTTTCTTTTTTCCTTCCCTCCTGGGCGCCAGCAGGTGTCTCTCTTTCTCCAAAATTCCTTGGTGGTCCTGCATGGAGCAGTGGAGAGCACCTGGCTGGGTCTGTCCCAAACTCGGCAGCACTGTGGCCTTGCCGGCCGCCTCTTCCCATCCTCTCTCTCCTCCCCCGGGTGCTGTAGGTGCCTCTGCCTCCTTTCACCCAGAAACTGTTCGTAAAGAAGGAAACATGTGCTCTTTGGGAGTCACTTAGGGGAATACAGAAGCCTCGAGCCGTCTGCCACGGGACCCTGGTCTCGCGGGTGTGACAGCCTGCGCGAGGGTGGCGCCAGGTGGGGCTGGGCTGCGGGCAGGTGGCACTGAGTCCAGCACGGCCGGCCTGGAGCGGAGTTCTGCTCTGGCCCCGAGAACACGTGGGGACCCGCAGGCCTGCACCAGCCTAGGCACTAACAGCAGTGCTGTGAGAATGCCCACATGCTGCAGGTTTCCCCTACAGAAGAAAATTTAACTGAGCGGGGCTTGTTAAAGTTTGCATTACCATTGTAATAGTCACAGGTGAATAGTAGTCCATCCTCATGTCCCTCCATAAGGCGCCGTAGGCGTGTGGTTGACAGTTCGAGAATGGAAGGAGTCAGATGCTGAGGTCGGAGGCCGAGTTAGGGGTCGGAGGGAAGCTCTCCACCTCGCCCAGGACATGTGACTGTGGAGGTCCTTCTGCTTGGGTCGGGTTCCCCATCCACGAGGGGAGGGCGGGGACCTGCCCATCCAGTCCCGGGTGGGAGTCTGTGCCTGGGTGCATTTTGTGAGCAGCGGACGGCTCTTTCCCTTCCTCCAGAATCGAGCGGGTGATGGACAACAACACCACGGTGAAGATGGTGCCCATCAAGATCGTGCATTCGGAGAGCCAGCCCGAGAGGGAGAGCCGCCAGAGCCTGGCGCGCCCCGCCGAGCTGCCCGCCCTGCCCGCCCTGCCCAGCGGGCTGGAGAAAGACCAGATCAAGACGCTGAGCACCTCGGAGCAGTTCTACTCCCGCTTCTGCGTGTACACGCGGCAGGGCGCCGAGCCTGAGCCCCCCGGCGCCCGGGCACCCCCCGAGAAAGACGGCTGTGCCTCCCCGCCTGGGCTCAGCTACGTGAAGGCCAAAGAGAAGACCGTGGAGGACCTCAAGTCGGAGGAGCTGGCCAGGGAGATCGTCGGGAAGGACAAGTCCCTGGCCGACATCCTGGATCCCAGCGTGAAAATAAAAACCACCATGGACCTGATGGAAGGGATCTTCCCCAAAGACGAGCACCTCCTAGAAGAAGCTCAGCAGCGGAGGAAGCTGCTCCCCAAAATTCCGTCCCCTAGAACCACAGAGGAGCAGTGAGTAGAGCTGCCTTCCCAGCTGCGCGCCGCTGCCCAGCCTCGCAGGCTTATAAAAGGAGGAGGCGTGTCTGTCTGCTTCGTAATTGCTTCTAGGGGAGACAGGTTTTCATAGGGGCTCCCGTGCTTAGCATTTATTGCCCTTTTTTTTGAGCCTCCTGAAAGAGAAGCTAAGGGTTGACGGCCCCGTCCCTGGGGATGACAACTTTGGGGCCCGGCAAAGGCGTGGAAATACACGCTGCAGCCCAGCAAGCTTTTGTGGCAGGCTGCGCGATTTGTGCACGGATTGTGTGTGATGCCTGCGGGTCTCCTTGGTTCTCAGCAGGGCATTGTCTGTCCCAGGGGACAGTTGGCAGTGTCACCCCGGGGGAAGGTGCACCTGGCACCGGGTGGGTACAGCCCAGGGACACAGTGCATGGGGTGGCCTCCCCACAGAGTCATCCAGCCCCACGTGGGCGTGTCCCCGGCGGGACGTGAGAGCCGTGCCCTCAGGAGCAAAGGCTTCGATTGAGCACGTGTGTTTCTTCATGAGTCGGTTTTCTACGAATTTATTTATAGTTTGTTTACATCTGAATGAAAAAATTGGCATTACTTATTTTTGTGAATAGCACGTTCAGCCCCCTCCTTCAGTCATTTGACCCCAGAGGCGTGCGTGGTCACATGTTTCGTGTGTGTGTATGTGTGCATGTGCTGTGTCCCACACGTGTCGCTCGAGGGCGCAGGGTGGAGGCTGTGAAACGTGGCAGGGAAGGAGAAACGGGAGGTGGGGCCCTGGCGAAAGGAGCCCACGTGGCTGCTGGTGGGAAGGCACGAGGGGATGGCGTGTGTGGGTACCGTCAGCACGCTGTGTCCTCGTCCACCCCAGGCTCCCGGTGGGAATTTTTAGACATTCCCGCTTACTCAAATGTTTTGCCCTTTTTAAAAACTACATTCTATAGACTTAATGAATATCTGTTTGGTGAGGTTGTTTTTACAGTTTTTACTTCATCACCTATGCATTTGTGTCCCTGTGGCTGCCTCGTGTCCCTGGCTGGTGGCCTTCCACTGGAGCCCACATGGACTTGTCACCACCCAGGGAGCGGGACTGGGGGTTGGTCTGTGTGTATGGCTGCAGCTAACCAAAGTGCCACCGTCTTTACCCAGGAAAGAGGAGCCACGTGCGCCTGCGGCTGTGTCCCTGGCCACCAATTCTACCTACTACAGCACGTCGGCGCCCAAGGCGGAGCTGCTCATCAAGATGAAGGACCTGCAGGAGCAGCAGGAGCCGGAGGAGGACTCGGGGAGCGATGTGGACCACGACCTGTCCGTGAAGAAGGTAGGTGGGCACGTGGGGCTGGATGATGTCATTACTCCTCTGTTAGCTTTAAATTTTCATGGCGCATCAGCAAGCCAAACCCGTGACATCTGGGCAGTTGCCAGCCTTATACAGAAAGGACGTAGCATAAAGGGACGAAGGTATTGCCAAAGAAAGTCAGGGTCAGAGGATGGCATGTGTTGTTTATCCCAGGGCCTTGAGTTTGCCTTAAATAGTCAGCACTGGGGAAAGAAAAGGAGGGATCCAGTACTCTGTGTGTGTTTGCTGTGGACCTAGCATTTTGAAAAGAGCTTTCATAAAAATGTGCTGATTTTTTTTTTTTGAGATAGGGTCTTACTCTGTTGCCCAGGCTGGAGTGTAGTGTTATCATCATAGCTCACTGCGACCTCCAACTCCTGGCCTCAAGCAATCATCCCACCTTGGCCACCCAAAGTGCCAGGATTACAGGTGTGAGCCACCATGCCTGGCCTGATTTTTCTTTCTTTCTTCTTCTTTTTTTTTTTTTTGACATGACCTTTGCAAACAATTATGTTGAAAGTCTGCTGGTATCATTAGGGATTTAAAATATACCACTGGTTGATTTCAATTATGATAGACACATTCTGGAGGAAATAATATGACATACATAAAGGAAAATTATGTTCAACTTAGCAAACAACCTTTTGGTTCAAGGGATGAAAAAGGGAAATGAAAAGTAAGGGTTTGGGTCTTGGGGCTTTTAGAGACCCTCTGTCTGTCTCAGGGTCCCATTTGCTTTATTCTGGTTGTGTGTGTGTGTGTGTTTTAAACAGAATCCAAAACATTTTCATTGTTTTCTCATAAAACCAGAAAAATTGTATTGTTTGGACCATTTTAATTTAGGCCACACCCTAGCTATAGAGGACTACATTTGTCACAAGCGTGCCTTTGTTTTTCTTGCCATGGTGAATTTTAGAAGCAGTGTGCCTTGATCCTGCCGCCTTCATTCCCTGGCCCTCTGGCCCTCTGCTTTGGGGGCTTGAGACGCCAGGATGCCGCCTTCCCAGCAGTGACAGCTTTGGGACCGAATGGGTCACTGTGAGCATGAGGCAGACTGACACTCCTCGGCCAGGGAGCATAAGTTAGGCAGTTGCGGCCTAGCTGCAAGTCCTGTAAACCACAGTTCTCTGTGGGCTTGGGACTCAGTGGCCCTACCTTTCTGCTTGATTTGACAGACAGGCCACCACTGCACTCTCTTCTCCCTTCTTCCCAGCAGCCACAGTCTAGGGGGGCTAAGTATGTTTTTATGCCTGGGGCAGCTCAGGCAGGCGAGGCCCAGATCGAGTTGTGAGGATTCTTCGGGAGAAACCAAGTTTGCAATCTTTTCCAATCCAGCCTTTTCCCTGGAACCAGGGGGTGGGTGCAAAGGGAGGAAAGACTTTGCTTCCCCTGCAGAGTGGAATGGAGGTGGGTGCCTGGGAAGGTGCCAGGTGGAGGAAGGGAATGGCTCAGGGCTCGTTCCCCCCTACTCTGAGCCTCAGCCCACCCGATGGAGAGGGGAGAGGTGGCCGTGCACCTGGCCTCCACTACAGCCAGCTCCTGCCTGAGCCTCCCGGAATGGCATGCGCGGCAGGAGGTGGCCGGTGGGCTTGCCAGGCGGCGCACGGAGCAGTGTGCAGTGGGACGCCTTCAGCACCCTGGGTGGTGCCGGCAGCCGCTGATGTGTGTGCTGCCCGGGGCCAGGTCTCCTGTCAACATCCTTGAAAGGCAGCGTCTGCACTTCATATGATGGCCCTTTAACAAAAACAGGGAAAGGGACACGGAGCTTCCATGCTCTCCCCAAGCACACCACCTCCAGAAACCTCCATGATTTCGGCTCTCTGGAAGCTCCCTGAACCCTTGGGTCTCTTATGGAGACTTCATCGGATAGGCGTGATTGACAACCGTAGGGAAATGTGGGAAGCGCAGCGAGGCCTGTCTTTCCAGGTTCTTCTTGGCCTGTGTGCAGCATCCTTCCTCCCAGCCGCAGGGCAGGACCCTCTCCACACTCAGGGTCTTCCAGCTCAAATTCAGAGGGGCAGTGAAAGGAGGGCAGCAGAAGGAGAGAGAGACAGAGACTGTTTTCTGAGACCCAAAGCAGCCAACACTGTAACAAGGGCGTGGGAGTTACAAGCCAGGAACCTGCATGCGAACCAGTATGTACACATCGTCACATCCTGGGTAGGTAAACAGACACACGCTGAGAGGGAACATTTACAAAAGATAGACACATGCATTTTTTTAAATCATAAGTAAAGAATATGTCTTGACATCCTGAGCTGAAAGAGCAGAGCAGTTTACAAATCCCACGTGGTCTCTTAGGAGAAGAGCTGTGCCCGTTAGCGGGCGGTGGGGTGTGTCCTGTAAAAGTGTCACCGTGCGAATGTGCTGGGAGGCGGGCGTGCTGATAAGCCAGGAGCCGGGAGCAGGCCCGGCTGAGGGCGCACTCTTCCCGTCTGCGTGCTCGTGCTGCAGACGCGAATCCGAATCCGGGTGAGGTGCCCGTAGGAGCATCGGTGTGAGACAGAGGCCTGTGACAGGAAGCGTCGTCCACAGTGCCAGCGGCTCAGGTGTCCCTGCTCTGTGGGTCGGCTTGCCCTGGCACTCGGCGGGGCAGTCACTCTTACTGGGCTGCAGTTCGTGGCGTCAGGCAGCCGCTTCTCACCCCACACCCCCTGTTGGTGATGACTGGCATTCACGGGCACTTAGCAGATTCCACACTGGGCTGAGCACTTTCCACACTGTCGTCGCCATCTTCATCCAGTCCCAGAGGCGTGGCCGCTGCTGCCTGTTTGGCTCTGGGACACCGTGTCCCGGAGAGCTGCAGTGGGACGTGGACATCCTGCCTGTCCTGCCCGGGTGTGTGCCTCCGCTCTGCCGAGCTCGGCGGACTCCCCGGTGAGTCAGTCTGTAAACAGTGGCCCCAGCGGAGGGGTGATGGCACCGACGGTTTCCAAGTAAATAAACTCTGTGTACAGTAGTGTTGCTCGTTATGACAAAGTGAGCATTAAAATCCCACTCAAACTCTCCTGTGCACACGAACTGTCTAATCTTCATTTTGGTCGTGCACTGAGCACTCCCTTGGTTTTTAGTGCACTCACCTCACACTACCAGGGGACCCGGGGGAGCCATGGTGGTGGCTGTAAGCCTGGTTTACCGAGAGTGTCTCATGCCAGGTGGCGGCAGTGGGAGTTCTCGGAGGGCAGCATGTCACTTTCCTCCCAGCCATTGCTGCTTCTGCCTCACCGCATGCAGGCCAACGCCCGTGACGCATGCGTGCTTTGGGTGGCTTCTGTGGCAGAAAGACAGCCATGGCTGCAAGCAGGGGTTTTCCAAGGCACAGCTTACTTGCGGTAGTCCTTTGGAAGCACCCTTGCGATCTTTCTCAAATACACGGTGATAGAGGAGGAGAAGGAGAGAGGATCAACTTTCAAATCAGACCATATGGTGCCACTTCTCTTCAGGATGGCGGCTGATTTAAAGGGTTCATACTTTTCATTTTTATGTTTGCTCTTTTAAAATTGATCTTTTAGGCCTGCCTGAGTGGCTCACAGCTGTAATCCCAACACTGTGGGAGGCCACGGTGGGAGGATCACTTGAGGCCAGGAATTAAAGACCAGCCTGGACAACATAGCGAGACCTCATCTCTATAAGAAACTCAAAAGTTAGCTGGGTGTGGTGGTGTGTGCACCTGTAGTCACAGCCACTCAGGAGGCTGAGGCAGGAGGATTGTGTGAGCCCAGGAGTTTGAGGTTGCAGTGAGCTATGATGATCCCACTGCACCCTACTGGGGGTGACAGAGCAAGACCCTGTATCAAAAAAAAAATTCATCTTTTAAAGGGCTGGTGGTAGGGTGCGTGGAGAGTTAGTATTTAATAGTTACACAGTTTCAGTCTAGGAAGATGAAAGTTCTGGAGACCGGTGGTGGGGATGGTTGCACAGCGGTGTGAACGCCCTGCATGCCACAGAAATGTATGCTGAAAACAGTTAAGATGGTGACTTTTATGTATATTTTGCCATGATAAAAAAAATAGTCATTTATTTGCATTTTGGTCGAGTTGAAGATGGTAGGTTATGGTAAAAGACCGTCTTTTAAGTTCATTGGAATCCTTTTATTTATTTTAATTTTTAAATGCTATTTATATGTAGAGTACACTTTCTAATTGTGGAACTCAGTATAGGCCGTAAGACTCAGTAATTTCTCTCTGTGTAAGTCTTTGAACCGGAAACTTCCAAAGCACAGAGTCCAGAACATCATGTGGACCTGGGAGTCCGTCCACAGATACAGGTCGACGTGGTATCAGCAGCCCCAACTCTGGTGTCATCTCGTGGGACATTAGCAAAAGGAATCTTTTGCTAATGGCTTCTTTAAGCAGAAGCCATTCTCCTTCCCCTAGTCCTGTAAATCCTCTGTTATTGGAGGATGCAGAAGCAGGCTTTCACCCAGGTGGGCTGAATCCCACCGGGCTGCGTGCGCGGCGGGGCGGGGCGGGCTGACCGTGTCTCCGTGCCGCCCTGTGTCCAACAGCAGGAGCTCATCGAGAGCATCGGCCGCAAGCTGCAAGTGCTGCGGGAGGCCCGGGAGAGCCTGCTGGAGGACGTTCAGGCCAACACGGCGCTGGGGGCCGAGGTGGAGGCCATCGTGAAGGGTGTCTGCAAGCCCAGCGAGTTCGACAAGTTCCGGATGTTCATCGGGGACCTGGACAAAGTGGTGAACCTGCTGCTGTCGCTGTCAGGCCGCCTGGCCCGGGTGGAAAATGCCCTCAATAATTTGGACGACAGTGCTTCTCCTGGCGATCGGGTACATGCAAACGCTTCTGACCTGGGCATGGTGGGAGGGGGGCCGCGGGAAGGCTGTTCTGGGGTGTTGCGGAAGTCAACTGCTTGAAGCCTAGCAGTGTGCACGCGGCCCGTCTGCTGCTGAGTGCGAGGTGCCATGGAAATGTCCTGTGTGCACGCCACTCCCTCTCCTTCCTTCTGCCAGAGGGGACGGTGCGCACGGGCATAGGGAGCTGAGCCAGTGCCAGCAGGCGGCAGGGCTGCCGGGGCTCCCCCAGGGCTGCCGGGGCTCCCCCAGGGCTGCCGGGGCTCCCCCAGGGCTGCCGGGGCTCCCCCAGGGCTGCCGGGGCTCCCCCAGGGCTGTGGCCACCTGTTGATGTCTTTTCAGGTATTCCTGCTGGTCGTTACTAATAATGGTCTCTTCCTGGAAAATAGTCTTTTTTCTTCTCTTTTCAAACTTTAAGCGCATGTAAGTCCCTGGCAGAGTTTACCCACCCCCGACAGATTGTAAGTATCGGTGACAGACGATGTCTGACTGCTGCTGTTGCTGTGCTGTAACAAAGGGCGTTCGGCGGTCTAGAACAAACTGGAGGGCTTGGGCGACTTTCCCCCTTACTAAGGTGTGGGACGTTTGAGACATTGCTCAGTAGATCTTTCAGGGTTTTACATATGAAGTAAAGGAAATAATATCTACCTCATAGGTCAAATATCAGTAAAACATCTGGTTTCCTCCTTTGCACATAATAGGCCTTCGAAATGATCTGTATCGTCCACGAAACACCTTAACTTCTCTCCAGGGGAGCAGACAAGGCGCCCTTCCCCTTGCCCTGGGTGAGGGCGGTCTGTGGCTGTGCAGAGGGACGCCTTGGGGCTGGCTTTGGGGCGCGGCCGTCTGCTCTTGCCGAGTCCCTAGGAACTATGTCATCGAGCCCACTATAGAAGGCGTACGACAGGGACCAGGGTTTGCACCCAGTTTCTCTTTGGGCTGTGTTTGTATTCCATGTTGCTCTTTTTGCCATCCTGGCCACATTTATCTAAAAGAATTTAGGAAAATGACATGAACAAGAAAGAGGGACTGATTTGTACATTATTGGAAAGTTAAATTCTCAGGTATGGATTGAATTGAAAAAAATGGAGTCATCTTGGCAACTGCTGGCTGGGCTCACCTTCCATCCCTCTTGCCCTCCCTCTTTGTGGAATTGACAAAGGAGTCTTTGGAATTGAGGGGAGAGGAAAGGAATCCCCCTGCTAGGGAACATGCTCGTGGTCCCCTGGGTACTGGGGCCCACACTCCATCCCCAGGGGCCAGTGGCAGCGTGCAGGGCCCGCGGTGCGGAGCAGGTGCGTCCTTGCGGCAGTCCACGGTGGGCTGCTCTTCCCCGTAGCTGCGCACAGTCAATGCAGCTTCACCCTCCTGACCTGAAGGGCACAGTCGGTGGCCAGGTGCAGTGCAGTGGCCTGGGTGTGCAGTGCAGCTAGCACTGTCCCGGAATCTCTGTGTGAGGCAGCCGGGGCATGAAGGGGCTAAGGTTTTCAGAGACAGGTGCTGATGAGTTTAAAGATGTGGAGTCAGGTTGCAGAAGGCTTCCTTTGCCTTTTTGGCTAGAACATGGACACATGGTCTGATAGAGACACGGGGCCTCCTCCCCACACCTCCCACGCCAGCGGCTTCTAGGTTCCCATGAGCCTGGCTGACTTTAGCAACCTGAACCACGTTTCTAGAATCCTTAATGTGTGTCCCCTTTGTTTTGAAATGGTTTGCTGTGCCTTGCCTCTTGACTCTGTCACACACGCCTGAGAAGCAAGGTGTTCCCCACAAGTGGGCGGGATACTCTGAAAGACAGTGTGGTCACGGCACGGCGCGGAAGCAGCACACCGAGGGCAGGCTCCGTCTGCAGCCTGTGTCGTGGTAGTGGCAACAGCTTCCCTCTGCTGAGCGCCTCTGTGTGTCTGGCGTTTGGCAAGGGGCCCCAGCATCCTCCGATGCCCACCTGTGGCCACTGGTGAGCGTCCCTGCAGCATTGCAAAGTGGCACAGCAACAGAGTGGCTGTCCCAGTTCCCAGATTAGAGTCAGGGACTCCCACCTACGTCCTCCAGCCTACATTCCTCTCCTCCTCTCCTAGTTTCGTTCAAGTCGGAGTCTGTAGGGAAACTAGGTGCGCGTTCTTCGAGCAGAGAGAATGACTGTGAGGGTGCTGTTTGGGGAAGGGGTGTCAGTGTTCCCCAGAGCAGGACCCACGTGAGGAGCGAGGGAAGCGATGCCTGCTGCCCATCCGCAGTCCTGTCCCTGTGTCCCGCCCCGCACGCCCTGGTCTGCAGATACACTCGCGGGCTCCTCCTCCTCCTGTCCGGAGGGTTGAGAAATCCTGCCCCGGATTTCTTTAGAGCAGGCGTCCCCAAACTATAGCCCAGGGGCCATATGCCGCCCACCTAGGACATTTATCCAGCCTGCCGGGTGTTTTTGCTGCTGCTGCCTGTCCTGCTTAGCAGCCGACTCGTCCCAGGCCCACAGTGCGCACTCTCTAACGGTCTGACGGACAGTGAACTGGCCCCCTGTTCAAAAAGTTTGAGGACCCCTGCTTTAGAGTGTCCCCTTTCCCAGTTTCCTCACAGTGTTGACATAGAAAGGGCATTGGTGCCAGTAGGGTCCCTGAGTCCGTGGCTCCTTTTGAGCATCTCAGGGTTCTGTCATTTTAGTCCCTCGGTGACGCTTCTGTTCACCACTGTTTCTGTTAGCTGTCCAGGTAAGAGGCAATAGATTGAGGTGCAGACAGCGGAAGGAAATCTAGAGAGGCCCGTGGGCAGCTTTTGGGAGGCCCGGGCTGGAGCCTGCCACAGCTGCCAGGCTCGCGCCACCTGCTGCCCGAGTACTTAATCTGATGGGCAGCCACGGGACCAGCCCCCAAAGGCGCCGGGGTTTTCCAGGTTGGCCAGAGCCCCTGCTTTCGCGCTGTTGCTCACGGGCTTGTTTCTGTCTCTCGCCAGCAATCCCTGCTCGAGAAGCAGAGAGTGCTGGTCCAGCAGCACGAGGACGCCAAGGAACTCAAGGAGAACCTGGACCGCAGGGAGCGCGTCGTCCTGGACATCCTGGCCAGCTACCTCAGCGAGGAGAGCCTGGCGGACTACGAGCACTTTGTGAAGATGAAGTCGGCGCTCATCATCGAGCAGCGGGAGCTGGAAGACAAGATACACCTCGGGGAAGAGCAGCTGAAGTGCTTGTTCGACAGCCTTCAGCCGGAAAGAGGCAAATAAGAGGTCCGTCCCCGGCAGAGGCGACACGCGGGGACGCACGTGAAAGCCCGGCTTGTGCTTATCTCCTGGAGAGAGACTCCTCCTTCAGCAAAGGGGCTATTAGAAAAGCAATAACTCTGTGTCTGTTTGGGATGATTTATTTAATTTTTTAGTTTCCCTTTGAACGCTGAGCAGAGCAGCTCACTGTCAGCTGCATTCCTTTAAACATCAGCCCACCTGCCGCCGCGGCCGGGCTGTGGCGCATGCACCTGGTCCCTTTTGCTGGTGAATCTGCTGTTCCTCCCGGCTTCAGATGCTGAACCAACCGCCCGGGAGGCGACAATTGCGTCCTTCGGTGCATGAGAAGGGAGACCCTGGCACGCGTCTTCTCTTCTGATTCGTCAGGGCATGGGCTGCCGTGTTTTGTCCCTGCTTGTTAATGGTGTGAGCATTCGTCGTCTGTCATGTAATGATGTTCTCTGACCTAGCAAAAATGATGATGATGATACGTATTAACATTTGGAAGGGTGAATAGTGTTCTAGTGGTTAAAAACCAACTGTGAAATGAACAACCTACGTCTTGGGTTCCCTCATTCTAAGATTAAAATCGCCACTTAAATAACGTGCATGCTTTAACACACGCACAAAGCCGACAAGTAGCTTTAGTCCAGAGTTCTCACTCGACATCACAGTTTGGATGATGTTTTCCTGCAAAGCAAATTACTTGGTTAAAAGTATGTCCAGTGATCATGTGCTTGTTATGTGTTTCCCAAGACCCAGAATATTTTAGGTGACTTCCCCCCACCCAGAACATTTTTTCATAGGAATGTGGTCATGAATGGTAATTGGCTACTTTGCTCTTTTTGCCTCCCTCCGTCAGTTACCATGAGGGCCACATTCCATGTACTGTGAGACCCCTTCCTCCACTTTGTCAGCAGTCCCGTGGACTATACAACTCCTAAAGTTGACCTTTTCCTCCCACAGAGTTTAAAGGTGCTGTGCCCTTTTTATTGGTTGAAACAGCAAGATTCTAAAGAATATTTATTTTAAAAATAAGCACTGTCTTGCTGTCAGTTTCCAATTGACAAGTCACAGACTGGGAGGAAATATTTGCAAATCCTGCATCTGCCAAAGGATTTGCATCCAAGATGTATAAAGAACACTCAAAACGCAATTGTAAGGAAACAAACAGCCTAATTAAAAAACGGGCAAAAGACTTGAATAGACACTTCACCAAAGAGGATATATGCATGGCACATAAGCACATGAAAAGATGTTCATCTGCTGATGGCTTGGTTGTAACTTATTTTTAATAATTGTAGATTTGATGTATTTCTTCGAAAACTGTTCCTCTAATTAAATGCATGGTCAGTGGTAAGTGAGTCTCTGCGATGCCGTCACGTGTAGGTGATTTGGGGGCATTTGTTCAGTCAGGGGGTCAGATTAAAACCGTCATTTCCCTTATTCCCACGGAAGAAATTGCCCGGCGGGGGCGGGGCGAGCTCCCGTTGTCAGCAGTGACCACAGCCTTACCAAAGCGTGCAGACACACGCACACTCACAGATGTCTTAAAGGCCCGAGTCTGCACTCGCCGGGCCGGACTACGGAGGCGCCGCGTCGGCATGGACGCCCCGCGCAGCCGCGTGCAGGCGGCAGGCTCCGGCGACACAGGCAGCGAGCACACCGCCTTTCTGGCAGCCCTCTGCCGGTGCCGAGGCATAAATGTCTTTCCAGCAGTGTTTATGCCTGTTAAATTAAGCTATCGCTACCTTGAGACATCCCTGTCCTGCCGATGAAGCGTCCTCCTCCTCCTCGCCTGACGGTCACTCGCTGTGAACGTTGGCCAAAGGCGAAGCTGGCTGTCCACCAGCCTCCACCTTCTCCTCGGGAGACGGCCAAGTCATAGCAGAGTATTCCATCTGACAAAGCTTCCACCTGCCATTCTCCCCCTCACATACAGTATTGTGGTCGTCTTGATGATACATGTGTAAAATGTGAATAATCAGGTTTGTGTGTTTGTGCCCAGGCTTTTGATGTCTTTTTAGGACTTTCTGTCATACATAGCAGTGTATAGTGCTCTAGGACCCTTTTAGCAAAGCACATGTAATGACAGCTGTCTCGTCCGTCCCCCCTGTTTGCCTCTTGAGTGTCTGGTTGGCAGGGACCCAAAGATCCCAGTGAGTCTGTGTACATAACTCTGTATATACTTGCACATGAGAGCAATCTGGTGCTAATGGTCAGCTCTTGGCATTCTTAGGTGGTGGCCCCCACTCGCCCCCTGTTGTGCCGCAGCTGTAGACGCCCTGCCGAGCGGGGCGTTGTTGCCCGAGGCCTGCCCACCGTGGCAAATGTGTACAGATTTCGTGCTCGACACTTACCACTTACCTTTCGCCAGATCAGCCTGCTTGACTTTAGCAAAATAAATAGTCTCTTCAAATGAGTGGAGCGTGTCTTTGATTTACCTGTGTTACAGCTTTTTAAAAAAAAGAATGCAAGTATCTACACCATACGTCAGATTCTGATCTCCAACCATTTGAGTAAACTGTGGCATGGGTTATATGTGTGTGATTTGTTTGTGCCAGTCTAAGGCCAGTGAGTTTGCAGGCAGGAAAAGGTCGGGACACAGGTCATACCAGTTAGCTGTTGCCCCAATAGTGCGATGGAACAAATGGTTTTACAATCTCAGACAAATCCAAAGTGAGGGAAATTCTTTAAAAAAAATAAGTGAATGACCAGTTACCTTGAACGCTGTCAAGGTGATAAAAGATAGTTTAACATTAGGGGCCAAGGTGACCTGACCAGTGGTCCCAGATGGGCTCGTAGAGCAGGAAAAGGACACTGGCCGGCCAGCCAGTGAAACTTGCGTCAGATCTGTCGGTCATGGCATCATGTCCGTGTTCATGTCTTGATTTAGGTCATTGTACTGCAGTTCCATGAGTGGTTTCCGTTTGGAAAATCTGGGTGAAGAATATTTGCGCTGTTTGCAACTTTTTTTAAGCCTAAAATTATTTCAAAATGAAAAGTACTTTTTTTTTTAATCTTAAGGGGGATTGTTCTTTGTCCTCACCCAAAGACCCCTTTCTCATATCTTGTAACCCTGTAGCACTTTAATCTAGTGCCCAAGAGCTTTAGAGTGGAGTTGCAATGTGGGATTGTACACAAATGGTCCCGTGTAATATGGCCAGTATTGTGTAACGTGGATCATGCTTGTGTTTTTAACCCTGGTGCTTGCACTAGTTTATTGAGTTTGAGTTTACATAAAAGATTTGCCCATTCAACCTTAAGCCCTCAAGGGTGGGTGCCCTGCTTGTCCATGTCTGTCTACCTGGGACACAGTAGGTGAGTAATGTATACGTGATTAGCAGATGCAGGCATACATAAAGCAGGGCGTGTGGCGTAGCCGCTGTGGCGTCAGTTTTTGCCCCCCTGTGTGCAGCATGTGAAGACCTTCCATGTCCCCGCCCGTGCAGTCACGCCAGGGTCAGTGCTGCTAATGTCATTCGCAAAGGGCTCGTGCAAGAAGCTGGCACTGCTGGAGGAAGACGCTGTGAGGCTTGCTCTCACTCCACCGGGGTCATGCTCTTGGTGTCGCTTCCTCGACCTTAACCCTCCCGATCTCCCCCGTCCCCAGCACCCCGCCAACCCTCAGCCTCTTCCGTCTGGGTGTCCAGAGAGGTGTCACAGCCGGGGGAGGCCGGGAGAGCGAGTCTGGGGCAATCCGAACGGAACTGCAGGTTCCTCCAGAAGCACGCACGCCCAGTGGTGTCCTCCACCCCAAGACGGAAGGGAGTGCTCAAAGAAGCCAGGGCTGTCACCCATGAGACACGCTGGCTTCTAAAAGCTCCAGTCCAGAGTGGTGCCTGGAACCCAAGTGCTGCATGGCACTCGGAATAGTCTGCGGTAAAGAATCCGACTTGAACTTTTCACTCAGGGTTTCCCAAATGTGTGAGCTTCGAGTGCCTCCATCCTGATTAGTGTTTAAAGATTTAATACCAACCAAAATGCTGAGAAACCTTGAGAGAGAGAGTTCTGCTGGTGGCAACATGGGACTCTTGAGTGATGCATGTCAGAGTTACCATCCCCTAAGATGATGGGAGGACCCTGTACCTGTCTACATGTAAGACTGTGGCCGTTTGATTTTAATTTTTTTTTTTTTGCAATCACACAAGAGGAGGTTTATTTTTGGCTAGCCAGGGTCCAAGCCCCAGAGCACCAACGCAGTGGCCACTCTCGCAGGCAAGGACCCCGGCCAGAACAACGGCATGCCTTTTATCCCCATGGTGCACAAGCTGCGCACAAGCTGACTACACATGGATCACGCGTTGACCTTTAAAATGATTGGTTGCCCACTATTGCCTTTTGAAATAATTGGCGGGTTGGTTGCCCTCTATTGCCTGATGGGCCAGTCGCCCGTGCTTTAATGACCTCATCCCATAATTCCCCATACCGCGGTGTAGCAAGCAAGCAATGACCAGAAGCAAAAGTTTGTGGTTAGCTCATTGCCCCAGCCAAGTAAATTCCCGACAATTGGAAAAATTCTTCTGCCCTTCCTCTGCCCTACAAATTCCTCTGCCCTACATTCCCCCCTTTCTCTAGGTAGCAGACGAGCACTCTTGCTCGTCCTCTAGGTCTCTTAGGTGCTCTAGTTCTATAGCACTTGACCGTAGCTGCCGATATTGTTGTTGCAATACTAGTAGCTGGACAGTGTTTATCCGTTCTTTCACAAAAGCTACTAGTCTATTAATTACACACGGCCCAAAAGTAAGGACTAAGATTAGCATAATGAGTGGGCCTAGTAGGGTGAATAGTAGCCAGGGGGAACTGTTAAACCAAGACTCAAACTAACCTGCTTGCTGTTCATATTCTCGTTTGCGGTGGGCAAGCCCTTCCTTGACCTTAGCTATAGATTCTCTAACAACTCCCATATGGGAGTTGCATAGAAACAACATTCTTCTTTGAGGCCAGCACACAGTCCTCCTTGCTGGAGGAATACTAGATCTAACCCCCTCCGGTTCTGGAGCACTACCTCGGATAGGGAGGTTAGTGACTTTTCTAGGTGTGAGATTGAATCTTCTATCCTTGCAATAT